TAGGTGCGGGAGCACGGGGGAGCCGATCGCACCCAGCGCTCACTGAGATGAGTGGGTGTCCTGGGGCACCCGGAGGTGCCACCTGGGGTTCATGCTGCCAGAGGGGTTCCCTGAGCACCCACTGATGTCACCTGGGGCTTGTGGTGCTGGGTGGGTGTCCGGAGTGTGCAGCAGGCACCGATGGCCCCCAGAGTTTGCCGTGCTGGGTGGGTGTCCCGGGGCACATGATGATGCTGTCCAGGGCTTGCCATGCTGGATGAGTGTCCCACGACATGGAGCAAGCACCAGTGCTACCCAGAGTATGTGGTGCCCAGGGTCACCCTGAAGGGTGCTTTGGGCTGGCGATTGGGGTCTGGGTGGGAGCTCTCAGCAGGGGGACCTGGACCTGGGACCCAGTACTGCCAGGGAGGTGCCAGGTGCTTGTTGGTGGTGGGAGCCTCATTAGGGGGAAAGAGGTTAATTATCTGCAGAGCCTGGCAGGGTCGATGCGGTGTGGGGTGGAAGATCTCTGTGCTCTTTCTTGCCACATCCACTCCTGTGTTCGCCTGTCCACTCATTTGTCCCCAGACTCATCTCTCCCTTCATCTACCTGCCCATCTGTCCATCCTTCCTGCCATTTCTCTCCATTCATCCTTCTATCCCTTTGCAAGCACTTCTGCCCATGCATCACCCATCTGTCCATCCTTCTGACCCTCCTTCCCCCATGCTCTCTCTCTCCCCGGATTCTTCTATATGTCCATCCACCTGTCTGTTCATTCACCTGTCCACCCCCAGACACTCCTTTCCATCCATTCACTGGTCTATCCCTCTGTCCATTCACTCCCCAACTCCATGCCTTCATTGCCACTTCATCCAGTGAATCTGTCTGTCCATCCATCTCCTCTGCCTCATCTCCCATCCATCCATCTGTCCATCTAGCCACTCATCTGTCCATCCATCTTCTCTGCCTCGTCTTGCATCCATCCGTCCATCTATTCATGTGCCCATCCATCCACCTGTCTGTCCATTTGTTTGTCTGTTCATCCATCTACCCATTCATCCATGTACCCATCTGTCCATTCATCCACCTGTCTGTCTGTCCCCCGTCACTTTTCTCTGTCTATCCACCTGTCTCCATCCATTTGTTCATCATGCATCCACATAGCCTTTTGTCCATTCACCTGTCTGTCCATTCACCTGTCTGTCCATCCACCCATCTATTCATCCATCTGTCCCTCACCACTTCTGTCTATCCAACCCTCCATCCATTTTTCTGTTCATCCATCCATCCGTCCATATACCTGTCTACCCACCTGTCTACTCATCTGCGGTCATCCATCTACTCATCTATCCATCCACCCGTCTACTCATGCATCCACCCATTACTCACCCATCTACTCATCCATCCACCCACCTACCCATCCTTCCCCCCCACACACATCTCTCCCTCCCTCCCCCTCCCTCCCTCCCTCTCCCTCCACCCACCGCTCCACGTGCCCAAGCCTGTCTCACGGGTTGTCCCCACAGACCACGAGGTGCGCCAGGTGGACTTGGTCTCGGCCTCAGTGGTGATGGTGGGCGTCATTGCAACAGTCCTGCTCTGCGTCCTTGTGGTCGTCATCATCGTCATGGCTCTCTACCACAAGCGCAAGACCAAGCGCATCTCCGAGAAGTAGTAAGAGCGGGCAGGGATGCAGGATGGGCACGGGTGGCTGGGGGTTGGAGGGTGACCCCGGGGGGTACTGGGCAGGGGGGAGGTGTGGGTCAGGGGTGCTGGGGGTGGCAGTGCCCACTCTCAGGGCTGCCACTGCTATGCTCACAGCGAGGAGGAGCTGACGCTGACCCGGGAGAACTCCATCCGGCGCCTGCCCCCCAGCCACAGCACCGACACACGCACCCAGGTGGGCGCACAGGGCTCGGGTATGGGGGTGCCCAAGGGGAGCTGGGTATTGGGTTGCTTGAGGTGTTGGGTAGTGAGGTGCCCAAGGGGAGTGGTGGATTGCGGTGCTCGAGGTGCTGGGTATTGGGGTGCCCTAGACGGGTTGGGAAGTGGATCCCAGGGAGCCAAGCATGGGGGTGCCTGGGTCATTGGGGTGACCAGGGTGCTGGATGGGGCAGCAGGATGCCCAAGGGGAGCTGGGCATCGGGGTGCCCAGGGTATTGGGGTGCCCAAGGAGGGGTCAGACTGGGCATCGGGGTGCCCAGGGAGGCTGTAGGGTGGCCAGTGCCAGGCAGCAGGTTTTGCCCAGGTTGCTCCTGGGGGCTGAGGGTCACCTGTGCATGGGACCCTTTGGGTGCTGCAGGAAGCAGGGCCCAGCCTACCCCTGCCCCAAATCCCACCCTGGCGTTCCTGGGCCTGTGGGGCTGGAGTGGGTGCCCGGGGGAGCAGCGCCCACTGGATGGGGGCCCCTTCCCCCCGGCTTTCTCACGATGGGTATTTCAGCTGGAGGAGACACTGCACCTGCGTGCGGAGAGCCGGCAAGGCAGCCTGCGTGGGGGCAGCCTGCGCGGGGAGAGCCTGCGCGGCACCAGCATCTGCTCCGCCATGGTGAGAGCATGGGCACAGTGGGGTCATGGCCGGGGTGGAGGACTCAGCTTGGCATGGGCCCAGCCCTGCACCATGCTCTGCCCATGGGTGCCAGAGCGTGTCCCCCACTTCTGTTCTGCTCCCATGCATGTGGAAATCCCCCTTCCACGTGTGCAAACCCCCTTTCGGTGTGCCTGCAAGTCCCTTTCTGTGTGTGCAAACCCCTTTCCCATGGGCACACGTTTTCGCACATCCAGGCACCGAAGCCTTGGGCGCCACCTCCCACGCGTGGCCGTGAAGGCACCCGTGTCCCCTGTTGCCCCCCTGCGTGCCAGCCTTGGGTGCAGCTGTGCCATGCCCAACAGTGTGGCCTGGCAGGGAAACTCAGGTCCCTGGGCGGACCCCAACTCACGCCTTGTCCCCGCAGAGCGAGGAGGCCGAGGGGCGCAGCTACTCCACGCTCTCGACAGTGCGGGAGATCGAGACACAGACGGAGGTGCCGGCGGCCCCGCTGCTGCCCACCCTGGAGGGCAAGGAGCCCAAGGAGGAGGAGGAGGACAGCAGCGACAACCCCATCAAGCAGGCCATGACCCACTTTGTGCAGGAGAACGGCATGCTCCAGGCCAAACCCACCACCAACGGCATTTACATCAACGGCCGCGGGCACCTGGTGTGAGCATGGCTGCGGCGGGACAGGATGGGACGGGACGTGCCACCCGGCCCCGGCCCCTTGCCTCGCCGCCGGGCACCCCTGGAGCAGCAGCCACAGGATTTGGAGGGGACAGCAGTGTGATGGGGGGGCTGCGCAAGGAGCCTCCCTTCCCTCCTTGGCTCCCCCATCCCCCTTTGGCCCGCCTGTGGGGTTGGCACGGACACCCGGCATGGGGCTCTGGCCCCCAAATGCCACCTTTGTTGCTGGCACAAGGTTGGGGACATGCACGATGGCCCAGGATGGAGATCTGGTCCCTAAATGCCACCGTTGGTGCTGGCATGAAGCTGGGGGTGTGCACCATGCTTGGAGTAGGGGCTCTGATCCCCAAATACCTCCTTTGCTGCTGTCACGATGTTGGGGACATGCACCATGCTCCAGCCTGGGGCTCCGGTCCCTGAAAGCCACCTAAGTGTTGGCACAAGTTTGGGGGCACGCACCGTGCCCCAGGCTGGGGCTCTAGTCCCCAAATGCCACCTTTGCTGCTGGCACGAAGTTGGGGTCGTGCACCGTGCTCTGGGCCAGGGCTCCTGTCCCTAAATGCCACCCTTGGTGCTGGCACATGCTTGGGGACACACATCGTGCCCTTGGACATGGCTCCGTTCACCAAATGTCACCACTGGTCCTGGCACGAAGCTGGGGATGTGCACCAGGTTCGGGAGAGTGCTCCAGTCGCCAAATGCCACCTTGGCTGCTGGCACGAGGTTGGACATGCCCTGCTGGGAAGGAGGTGACAACAGCGCCCCGGACCTGCAGGCATTGGAGTCGCCAGCGTGGGACTGCGCTCCAGAGGGAGCTGCTTCTCTAGGCTATCCCTAGACATGGGGACACAGTTCTCCCGCACGGGGACACCAGGACCTCAAGCCCCAGGACCATGAGGACAAATACGTGGGCAGGGGCGCACTGAACCCCACTGGGGATGTGGTTCCCCCCCCCCTCCAATCCCCCTTTGAACTCTGGATCAGATCCTTTCCCTGCGTGGTGCTGGGGGGATGGCAGAGGGGACGGTGTCCCTGCTCGGGCTGTGCTTGGCATCGCGCTGGTGGTACTCGGGACGCTTGTGTCCCCTCCCCAATCCTGCCTCTCCCCTTCTCCCTGTGGCACAGGTGGGTCCCCGTGTCCCTCCTCTGCCTGGGGCGGGAGGGGGACCCGCGTCCCATCTGCCGACCCCTCAAACCTGGGGCGGACCCCCCCGCGGCCGGGGCTGGCGGAGCGGGGCCCCGGTGTACATAGAGCCCCGGCATGTACATACGTGTATAGGACGGTGGTCCCCGTCGCCCTTTCTTATCTGCACTGCTGGTTTTGTAAATAAATCCCCGTGCGGGACCCTGGGACCGGGTAGCGAGTGCGTCTGGTCTCAGCCTGGGTGCGAGGGCCGTGCACGGGCGTGGGGTTGGACATGAGCATGTGTGTGTGTTTACACTAGTCGGTGTTCACACTAGTGGGTTGGCGTGCTGGTGCACGGTGCGTGCACGTGCAGGTGCAGGCCTCTGTGTGCACGTGCATGTGTGTGCTAGTGTGTTCACATGTGCCAGCCCATGGGTGGGCTGGTGTGGGCGTGCCAGCAGGCGGGTCTGTCGGCACGTGTGCCGGTGTGTCCCTGTCTGCGCCCAGGCCTGGAGTGCTCACATGCTGGTGCCCCTGCCCAGATGTGGTGCTGGGTGTGTGCACACAGGGACCTGTGTGTGCATACATGTTCAAGCATGTGTATGCATGTCTGTGTACGCATGCCCAGTGCGTGCTTGCACACGGGTGCTCCTGCATGGGCATGGCCACCAGGCCTGCACAGCCGCTGGGCCGAGTGCATGCACGCGTGGGGGCATCCGTGTGTGCACACAAGGCCCTGGGTGCGCAGGTGTATGCATGTGTGCCCATGTCTGCACACAGGCCTGGTGCGGGGTCACGTGCGGGTGCCCCTGCACAGATGTGGCACCAGGTACATGCACATGTGGGAGTCTGCGTGTGCAAGCATGTGCATGCACGGCTATGTCTACACGTGGGCTCGGTGTGTGCTTGTACAAGGCTGCCCCTGCATAGGCACGGCCACCGGGGCCTGCAGGGATGCGGCGAGGGGATGCCCCTGGGGGCGTGCATGCGTGCACACAGGGCTCTGAATGTGCATGTGTGTGCATGCATGTGCAAGCATGTTTAAGCATGTGCAGGTGTGTCTACACACAGGCCTGCTGCCTGCTTGCACGGGGCGTCCCTGCACGGGCGCAGCCACCAGGGCGGGCCGGCTGCGGGGGCGGCCGC